AATTAGACCCCAAAGAATGCAAAGAAATGTGGATATTTGCTGTTAGATGGACCAAAAACTGTAAACTATATAATGTTTTTTTTTTTCATCAGGTTTGCAAAAATGTTGAACCAAATTTGAAGCAAACATAAAATGATGCAGAAACAAGCATGAACAGCTATGACACGGCGTCTTTGGAGAGACAAGTGAAAACTAAATAATCCCAAAAAAAACATCAAATATTAATACAGCGACTAGGTTCACAGAGGAAAAGAAACAGTCAATACTTCTTTAAATATCCTCATCACTCTGATTATTTGCTGCAAATATTTACAGCGAATCAGATCTGATCTTTGTGTGCAGCAGAGAATCTCCGTTTGAAATCTTGCTGTGTTTTGTCAAGAAATGTGAATTTCATAAAATGTATATTAGCTGATTTAAAAACAAGTTTAAGTTTATTTAACATGACAAAACAAAGCCAGAACAAAGAGAAGTGATCAAAAGTTGTAATATAGAACAGGATTAATAAATGTTCCAGTTATTATTAATAAAAAAGCAGCTCTAGACGGGTTAGCCTTGATTTAAAGGAACTTGGTGTTTCAGATTATTTTTAGTTTTCTGGAAGTTTGTTCCAGATTTATGGAACTGAATTCTGCTTCCCCATGTTTGGTTCTGGTTCTGTTGGTGCAGAGCAGAACCAGACCAGAAGATCTGACAGGTCTGGAAGGTTGATACAACAGCAGCAGATCTTTAAGTCGTTCAGTGATTGATAAACTACCAGCAGCATTTGAAGCTTTCTGATTGATTTGTTAGTCAGACCTGTGAAGACGCTGCTGCAGTAATCAATGCGACTAAAGATAAACACATGGATGAGTTTCTCTAGATCTTTCTGAGACATTCATCCTCTAATCCTCTAGTTCTTCAGGTGATAGAAGGCCGACTTTGTAACCGTTTTTATGTGGCTCTGAATGTTCAGGTCTGAGTCTAGATTTCAGTCACATTTTTAAATTCTTTCTGTTTAATGTAAGAGATAAAATATTTTTAAGGGAGTAGAATTTATTTCCAAGTCATTGTTTTATTTCTTCTAAAGCGACTTAAGTTCATATCTCTGTAAGATACTGATTACTGCTCTACACAATCCCATCTCTGAAAAGCTGAGCTCTTTTCAAATCTCCAATTTTTTAATTTTCACTCTGGTGCCATGAAGCCAGAACTCGGCTGGATAAACTGCACTAAAAGTTTTTTTCTTGCTGCTATTTCAGTGCAAAATTATTAAATCTCACCAAGTATTTTGTCATGTTTTCAGTGTAAATATCTTTGTACATTTGAATTAAGACAAAACTAACTTACAAATAACTTTTCAGCAGGATATAGGCGCTTGTTTAAGTCAATAATTCCTTAAACTTAATGAGACGTTCTAGTTCCACTGCGCCGTTACCTAGCAACCCCAGCCAAGCCAACCCGTAACCTAGCAACGCACTTCTAGTTCCACTGAGATTATTAGGCAATTTCCTCATGTTAAACGCGAAATAATCTGAAACTAGAACTGGATTGATAGTTGTTTTAATTAAATAATTCTTGAATATTGATTAAAACAAAGTTGTGCCACTGACAGATTATTTTACACACATTAGAAAAATAGCTTGTTATTTTCATGAATTTTAAGGAATTGATTTAAGACAAGTTTATATAACTTACAGAAAAATTGTTGTTAATTAGTTTTGTCTCATTTAAAGAGAACTAAAGTATTTGCACCAGAAACTAGCCTAAAAATACTTGGTAAGGCTTTGAGTTTTTGCAGTTTTAGTGCGAATAAACTGCAAAAACACAAAACTAACTTACAAGTAGCTTTTCAGCAAGATTTGCAATGATTCTTGAATAGGGAATTTTTTTTCACTTATAATCTTAACTTATTTCTTGCTATAAATGAAAAGAAAATGTCAGTAATGGTTTTTTTTAATTAATATTCAAGACTTGTTTTATATCTTGCTGAAAAGTAAGTTAGTTTTGACTTCAGGTGTACAAAGATATTTGTACTAAAAACTAGACAGAAACTTTTGCAGTGTAATATCCTGTTAACATTTGTATGTGTTTATTTCCTGACCAGGTGGAAACTATAACTGTAACAATAAGATTTAAGAATTAAGAAACTTTTCTTTGCAGCTTCAAATCAGGACAGAGTAAAACCAAATCCGTCGCCCAGAGTCTCTGAGACAGTCACACCACTGTGAAAACTGCATCCAGGAACTTAGTTCATTAGCTGTGTGTGTACAGCTGGATCCACAAACACACACGCACACACACGCACACACACATGTAAGCAGCGGCAATATAACAGCTGCAGTTATGGCCTGCAATAGAGAGGAGATAAAATTAACAGAGAGGCAAAAGCAGGAGGTTTGAGTCTGCAGATACGCTGTGAGAAAAGGATTTCCACAGCAACTGCTGCAACTAATCGATAAACCTGAGTCACAAAAAAACATTATTCAGTAATAGAAGGCTGTGAATTTAACAATTTGTACACAATTAAGGTCTTAAATGCGACAAAGACAAAAGAAAGAGTGAACAATTGAATGTGAAGCTGGTGTCTGTTCAGGTGTGGAGCTCCTTATGCACCTGTCTGTGGGCGGGAACAGGTGTACAGGTAATTTAAGATGACTGCTCTCAGTGTCAGGGCGTGCAAATATGATCTGAATACTTCTCATGTCATAACATAACTGATGGAAATATCAAATGGATGAGACTGGACCAAGGAAACAAAAGCAAATGGCCGCTCTATCTTATTGTTGGACAAAGAAAACTCAAGATGTCCCATCATGCATCTGCTTATATGTTTTTGTGTGAAGCGAATTTAGTTACACAATAACTTGGAACATCAAGATTATGTTAGCTTTGTTTCCATCGATTATATGATTACGCAATTTGACATTTCAAAAATAAATTTTCTGAGCAATCCCTCATATTAAGCATGCATGTGGCAACAGTGGAGAGGAAAAACTTCCTTTTAACAGGAAGAAACCTGCAGCAGAACCAGAACCAGGAGTAAGCAAACAGAACACCAGGTGTGGCTTCTGAGAGAACAACATAAAATTAAGAGTTGAAATAACAAAATAATGCAAAATGGAGAGTAGAAGAAGAAAAAAGTGAGGGAAGGTGGTCAGTTTGACCTCCGGCAGACTAACCCTTCAGTTTGACCTCCGGCAGACTAAACCTTCAGTTTGACCTCCGGCAGACTAAACCTTCAGTTTGACCTCCGGCAGACTAAACCTTCAGTTTGACCTCCGGCAGACTAAACCTTCAGTTTGACCTCCGGCAGACTAAACCTATAGCAGCAAAGCCATAAAGGTAACTCAAGATAACTTAACGCCTTAGGAATGGGAGTTCACTAAAAAGTGTTAATTCTTTATGAACAAAAATCACACATGGTGCTCCTCAGGGCTCTGTTCTCTGACATGCTTCATTTTCAATCACTAGTTTTGCTACACAACACAGATTAGAAAGTTTTACAACATCCCTAACCACAGCTTTTGGTGATGACACAAACTTTAGCTACACTCGGTAAAAGTCACAAGATCTCCTTCTTGTTCTGGTAGGAAACCAGAAAACAAATCGTATTTTACATATTTTTATCTGCTTCCTGATGAAGCAACAACTATTCAAACTGAATATATATCTTCTACGAACGTAAAATAACAAAAGAAAACATATTCTCACACAGGGACGGTAAATTCCCATCTTATCAGCTTTGAATTAGTATTTTACTTCTTCTTTTTATGTCCATATACGTAGATTTTAAAATGATTTTTGTCTTTGATTGCATTGCTCATATATTTTCTTACTTGTTTATAGAATATTAGATTACGAGCAAATTGTATTTGTCTTGTGTAAAGCTTTACATTAAGAGCATTCCATAAATTAACAAAAGTCAGTATAATTAGAATACAAACAAATAATATTTTATACATGAAGGATTTTTAAACTATTTTTATTAGAGCCATATCTTTATATCTGTAACTTATACTTAAAAATTATTCAATGGTTGGGTCATATATAGTTAAAATAAATAACATTTTCTCCATAATAATGTAGGATTGCTGTCTGAACACATTACTACGTTGATAACTAGTCTTATAATATCAGCTTAAATTTAACTTAATGCAAAGCAAACTAAAAGGAGCAGATTTTAAACTAAAAACGACAATATTTTTTCCACTCTATCAAAAGTGTTTGAAGGAAAACTCCTGCAGTCATTGTCAGCAAGGAGGAAAGAGACAAGCCTCCGTTCCGGGACTTTATCGGAGGCTTTAACAACAGGTAATCGTTATTTTCCATTGTTTTGTTTGAAGTCGATCGATTATGTTAAACAGAGTCCGGTTAATTATTTAATACATGAGAATAGCTCATAAAAACTAAGTGAACATGCTAACTGTAGAGCGGCTAACTGTTAGCTGCTAACAGGCGGAAGCTAATCCGTTCGGCTAGCTTCCGCCTGTTAGCTACTTTATTACGTTTTTGATTTGTAGCACAAACATTTACAATATGCATTTTAAAGATGGACATTTATAATAAAAAGTGTTTTGTCATAAACACGTGTCTGTTAAGTTTACATCATT